GCTCGTTCCAAGCACATTGATGCAAGATACCAGTTTGTTAGAGAATTAATTGACGAAAAAAAGTTCTGTTGAAGAAGATAGATACGAAAGAGAATCAAACAGATATGCTCACGAAGGTACTACCAATCCGAAATTTCACCTACCGTAGAAGTTTGGTGAACATCTAAGCTTAGGATTGATTGTCTGATCATTCATTCTGAAAAAACTACAGGGGGGATTGATCCCTTCGGGAGAGGGGTACGTAGTCAAACATCTTGGTATAGCTGAAGTGGAGTTTGAAGCTCATTTGATCATCTCTCACTTATCTAGTAGTAAGAGATGAGGTGAAGATTATTGTATTTATGACTTTTATTGTAATTAGGGGTAATTTGGTCTTTTGACTTTATTTACTTGTATGTCATGATTCTCCTATATAAAAGACTTAGGGTCTATGAGGGAGTTATGGTGAGAAGTTGTAATCTCAAATCATTTTTCTTTTTCCCATCCGATGCTAGTGAAATCTCTCTCCCTGTGTGCGTAGGCGAGTTAATTTAACGTCAAACCACATAAATCGTTTGTGTTTGATTGTTATTGTATGAATGTCTTCGTTTCTACATTATTTTTTCATAACACTTGGGCTTCAGCTAGAGCTGGATTGTAAGGCTTCATTTGGGAGTTTATGATTTCTATTTTTGTTGTCGCTGTAGAATTTTTTAGAAGTTATCTTTACATCATTTTTTAATTTTTTTATTTTTTTCATGAAACAACTTGTCTAAAATAAATTCAAGGAAAAGTAGGGGAAAAAGTGTTAAAGTATTTTCATCCTAACATTTTTCTTTTGGTGATGGCGAGTGCACATCATGTGTAGAAAAAATCATGTTAAATTCTTAGCAATAATTTTCTTGATCGTTATCAACTTAAACTTGTTATCAGTAAGTTGTCTGCTATTGCTGCTAAAAGATTGTCAAAAAATTTCCATAAGCTAATCTCGTTTGTCTTCTTGGGACTACAAGAAAGTGTTGAGCTGTCGGGTCAACTTATAGAGTTTTGCGGATGAGGAGAAGAGCAAGTAGCTGTTTTAATTTATCGAACATAAATTTGAATTTTATTTCTTAAAAAACTCTCTTACACGCTAAGTCCTCATGTTTTTTTTAAAAGTTCTTTTGCTCTGATTCTTACTTTTCGAAGACTATATGCTTAAGGGCCTTGAATAGTTTTAAAGTTAGTTTTAGACTAATGGTGTGTTTGGGGCATCACTTTTGATGTTTATCGTTTTGAAAATGCTATTTTGAGTGTTTGACAGGCGGCTTTCTCGCTGCTTTTCGGTGCTGGTGGTCCACGGAACACAGAAAGCAGAAACGGGGGGAATGCAGGTGCATTCCCCGTCCTTGGCTCCTTTTCGATTGTGAAATCCCTTCGCTACCCCTTTGGAAATGTCGTTATCTTTTCCTATGTCCCCGATAATACCCTCGATTAGACTTCCTCCCCCCAACTCTTTTCTCTTCCGCCGCGACTTTAGGGCAAAATCCCGATCTCCTTCTCTCCTCTATTCGTGCTCGCTCCTGCCGCCTCTCTTCGACTCTCTCTGCAAGTATAACTCACCCCCTTCCCTTTGTTGTGGTAGTTTGATTTTGTTGGTTTGTTACTTCGTTATTTCTTTTAACTACTTATTTTTCGGTTTATTTGTTGGTTGTTAGATGATTTCAGTGCTTTGGTGGCTTTGGTACTTTGGTGGTTTTGGTGCTTTGGTGGTATAACTTCTTTTTTTTTACTTCTCTCTTTATCGATTGGTGGTATAACTCCTCTCCCTATTGCAAATATATCAGTTATATGGTAGATTAGTAATTGTATTTCACTTCCCTCTTCTTCAATAAGGAAAAATATTTATGAATAGTATTACAAGTACTGTTGGTTCTGTTAGAAATTATATTAATGAAAAATTATTTTGAATTGTTGTAAATATCTCAATTTAGATGTTACAATAATAATAGTAATTGAATTTCTTTTTTCATTTCCTCAATTTGGAAAAAAATTTTATGAAAAGTATTAGGAGCATTGTTGAATTATTTGAAAATATATCCAGAAAAAATTATTTTTAGCTGTTGCAAATATCCCAGTTTAGATGTTAGATCAGTAATTGTATTTCCTTCTTTCTTTTCTTCAATCTCGAAAATATTTTTCGAGAGAATTATGAGCGGTCTTGGTTTCTTTGAAGATATACCCAGGAAAAATGTTTTTAGCTATTGCAAAAATCTGAGTTTACTTGTAAGGTCAAACATTGCATTTTTTTTCTCTGTTTTTCAATCTGGAAAAACATTCTATAAAGAATATTACGATCACTGTTGGTTCTTTTGAAAATATATCCATAAAAAATTGTTTTAACCTGTTGTAAATATCTCAGTTTAGATGTTAGATCAGTAATGCATTTAACATTTTTCTTCTTTAATCTGTAAAATATTTTGTGGAGAGTATTATGAACAGTGTTGGTTCTTCTGAAGATACATTCACTAGATAATATTTTTTAGGTTTTATAAATATCTTAGTTTATTTGTTAGGCCAGTAATTGTATTTATTTTTTCTCTTTTTTAATTTGAAAAAATATCTTATGGAGAGAATTATGAGCACTATTGGGTTTTTTTTAAATATATCAATGAAAAATTGTTTTGACATGTTGCAAATATCTCAGTTTAGATTTTACATTAACAATTGCATTTCTATTTCCTTTTCTTCAATCTGGAAGAGCATTTTATAGAGAGTATTACCGACAATATTGGTTCTTCTTAAGCAAAATCCATTAATTTTTTTTTTGAGCTAATGTAAATATTTTTTTTTAGATGTTAGGTCAATAATTTCAAGTCACATTCCTATTCTTCAACCCCAAACTCATGATATTATTATTTAGAAAAATATTATCTCGTCGATTCAGAATATTCATTAGGTATCACCTTCTAGATTTTGAGTGCAGCGGCTAAATGATTAGAGGGATGAATGAACTCTTCAATAAAAGGCACTCGTCATTACGAAGTGTTAATGAGATAACATTCGGTGTATGAAAGTGAAATGGGTCATACTCCGAGATATGCCGATGATTTCCTTCCAAAAACAGGTCAAGATAGTTGCTGCAACTACTATGCTGCATAATTTTATACGGAGGCTTTCATTATGAGACTATTGATTTCAGGGTCTTAGATGAAGATCCTACCTGCATGTCTGAGGAAGTATTCAAACTTCGGGTCAAACATTCATTACCTGATGAGGACTTTGGTACGAGCGAGTACAACATATCTAAAGGAGAATGTATTCAGTAGATGATCCAGTTAAGAGAATATATTACAGATGTTTTAGTGAATGCATCAAATGTGTTTATGTAGCATTACATACTGTCTTCTTATTGATGATTCCTATTTCAGCTGTACATTGGATTTATAAATATATATTTTCGACATATTTGTAGCATTTTGTATTAAGGTTTTCTTCATGTGTCCTTTTCTACATTTTATTTTTATTGAAAACTATTTAATTTATATAACGGTTTTGTTTCATATCTACTATTTTTTAACAATTTAAGTTACAATGTATTATAATCACAAAAAACATGAGTTCAAGATTATTAGGTATTTCGAGAGTTTTGCCATGCCATTATGGCGAAAGATGTGTTGGGTATCAATCGAGAAGGGAAGATAACTACGGGAGTATATTTTACTCTTATACCAGAAATATGACACTTGAAGATTGTAAGTATTTTTGTTGGACTGATGACACTGATGAGTTCACTTCAAACAGTAATCTGGTGAGGAGAGATGCTGCTGTGGAGAGGAGATTATCCTGAAGACTTGATCATCAAGACATGAAATTAAACATCATTTCAGGCTTATTGGTTATTTTTGTGGTCTTTACTATTGTAGATATTTGAATACAATGACTAGTCACTTTCTATATATTAGAGAATTTTGAACTTCTGATAGTTGTTTGTGTAGTTGTGCTTGTTTATTTTATTCTGCTGTAATTATTTTGAAAATTGCAGTTATTCTGATGTGTTTCATATGTAACGCTAAAACAATCTTTTCATTAGAAACAACTGCAGTACGACAAATTATTCAAACAGGTTCTTGTTTTTCCAACAACTGCTTTCTGACAGCATTTGAGAAGCTGCTTCTCCAAGAAGGGCTTAACAATTGCTTCTTAGAAAAGCACAAACGCCCCAAATGCACCATATGCGTTTGATCCCGAACGATCATCTTCCAGTACCTAGTTGCAGGTTCTCTACTTTGGTCGCTCAACCTTGAATGCTCGATCTCGGTTATCTGGCCTTAGTCGGACATTCATTACTCGGCCTCAGTTGCTCGACATTCATTACTCGGCCTCAGTTGCTCGACATTCGTTACTCGGCCTCAGTCGCACGGCACAGATTACCGAGCCTCGTTCATCGGCCTCAATCACTTAGTCTCAGTCACTCAACCTCAGTTGCCCGGCCTCAGTCGCTCATTCTTGGTTATCTAGTTTCGGTTGCTTGGCTTCAGTTATCCAGCCTCAGTCACTCAGCCTTGGTCATTTCGTCTTCCTGACATTGGCAGACACGTTTGGCTGTCCAACTTATTTCTTCAACTTGTTTAGAACGGCTTCCACTAATGGATAGACTCTAAGCCGTTTGATTTAAGATGACCTAGATAGTCTGATTTGTGATGACTTGGATAGTTGCTTTTTGACTATACAACATCCAAACAATTCTCAGGAGGTACTTCATCGTCATTATTGAATAAGATATGTCAAATTCAGATTCAATAAATACTACTTTGAGCTAAACAGGATTTTACTGACAATATACTTTCTTTTGTGCCGTTCATCGGTAGCATTATGATTCTTTTTATGCCCTAGATTGCTGTTTATTTCTCGTTTGTGTACTGCTTGTAAACTGATGAGCATTCTTTAAAACTTGCTACCTTCTTGAATATATTTGCAATTATTGAGTAAGAGTCTCAATCTGAATCCATCATGAAAATCTTTCCATCTCTTTATTGCAGACTAACAGCATATTTTGCTTCAATGGAAGCCCTGATTTCCTACAAAATGACATCCGGGTGAAGCCTGATCTTGACGGCCTTGGAGCTCTCGGTGATGCAGGCTGGTACTGCATCAGTTCAATTTTATGGGCAAATGACTACGACCTTCCCAAGACTGCCATTGCATTTCCCAACCCTGTTAAGAACGAAGCTGGAGTGGTTCTATCTTGTGATGCATCCTTGCACTGGGAGGATGGTAGGGTTGCAACATTTCACTGCTCCTTTTTGGCCAACCTCACTATGGATTTGACTATCATTGGATCAAAAGGAACACTGCATCTGAATGACTTCATCATTCCTTTCGAAGAGAGTTCTGCAAACATTACCTTTGCTTCTGATTCTTTGTTGAATGATGCCGTTACCGCATGGGCAACATTGTCCCAAAAGCATGTTGTCTCTACCGATCTGCCCCAGGAAGCTCTAATGGTTACCGAGTTTTCCAGATTAGTTTCTGAGATAAAAGAATCTGGATCGAAGCCTGACTATAAATGGCCTACCATTAGCAGGAAGACTCAAGTTGTCTTGGATGCAGTGAAAGCTTCTATTGACAGTGGATCCAAGCCTGTTCAGATTGTTTTCTGAGGTCTTACCGTATTGAGCTTACAGTTGCTCCAGGTTTGTCCTTATGGCTTTCTAGTATTGCTGTGACATAAGAATAGTCATCGATTGAATAATCCTTGCTTGGATGCAATGATTTGTCTCCACCATTAGTTGATAGTCGTACTTCCAGTTTGAAGTACGATGAAAATGATTTTTCATGTTCAGCTTGAACTTCACCTAGTTGAGATTGAATGACCTTATCTTTCAAGTTGAGAACTCTTGATGTTTGTTTTTTCTCATCTTTTGTTGTCTATTATGATTTGAGGAATTTAATTGTTGAACATGTTATATAAACACTACCATCTATTATGCATATGAAAAGCTGAGGTCATGTGAAATTGCTTTTTTTTTACCTTAATTTTATTGTATACTTTATTTGATATAAAGCCAGAACATGTTTGATATTTTAAATCAAGTGATGGTGCTGGCCATGACAGCGAGAGGCATCAGAAGGGTTGCAGCAGCAGAGAAGGAGGTTGCTGACGTTTGAGCTCTGCTTCTTCACATTGATGACCTTCTGAATTTTTTCCCGCCTATATCATTCTTTATACTATTTTGGTTAATTTTTTAACGCCATTAAGAAGAAGTTCATGAAGAATAAATTATTTAAAGAAAGGCTGCTGCTTGCTCTTCTCCTTAATTTGGCTTTCCTTTAAAACATTGCTGATCAAACATGCATTTATATTGCATACATTTCAACAATTGGCTTCTGAATTTGATGTTTTGGTTTCTACTTGATGGTAGGTTTGTGGAATTTTCGTTAATTTAATAAAACTATAAATTTTGTTTTCGTTTTTTTTTTTTTTTTTCAGGTGCATAAGAATTATTTCCTCTTAAATACAGAGCCCTGTTACTGGTCTTTAGTTCTGGGATTTATCTCATGACTTAGGTTTAAATCATTTTTCATGTCTTGTACTGTGGACCTGTAACTACGCTGCCTTTTCAGTTCCATGGTATGATGTAGTATCGTTGTGCTATTTTTATAACATATATTGATGTATATATAAAACGAGTGACAACTTTCCATGGGGTCTTCAAACTTCAGTTGGTGAAACCTTTATCCTATCATGGGTATCGAAAGTAAAGGTGTGTTTGAGGCAGCCTTTTGGTTTGTTTCCGTTTTTAGAAGTCGTGAGATAGGCGTTTGTGGCATGACGTTTTGTAAAATCATGTCTGCGGAATTTCATTTTTTGAACTGAGGGGAAGCGTTGCGTTCCGTGATCATTTTGCGGCCCAGTAGGGAAAACGAGAGCTATCCCTTCACTGAATTCACAAAATTACCTGCCCAACTGATAATTTCCAAGGCATCTTGCTTACAAGAAATTGGGGTTGCTTGTGTATCGGTGCTGGTTGTAGCTCTGTGCACTCTTTCTCTTCCCCGTCACTACTCCTTTTGATTCTACGCTCCATGTGGCTTTTAGCTTGTTTCCCGAATAACATTGGATGAGTGTTTTCGCTTTTGCTTTTATCTTCGTTTTTCTTATGGATGGAGGGCTTTTCTTGCATCCCTGTGGGTTGATCTATGTGATTTGGGAATTTGACAAGTGTTTCGCCAATTGATCTATGTGAGGAGTTATATGTAGAAGCTCCTATATGATTCCATTTCCATGAAAAATGAATGCATATTTATCTGTTTTCGACTACTTTTTTAGTTGATAAATTTTCTATTAGAATTTTGATTAAATACAAAATGAGTGGCGATGCCATGGATGGTGAGTTTGAATTTTATTACTGACTTTGGGATCTTATGATGACTTTCAAAGGAAAAAGTGTAAGATATGTAATCATAGAATCCACTAGGGGTTTAGTTTGGATGGAAGAAAAGCAATTAAACCAAAATGAAATCCCAATTATTCCATTATTTTTTAAAAAAATGAACACGGCTCATTTCGTTAAGAAAGGTTAAATAATTTTGCTGTTCAGTACTGCATTCTCTCTATTTTTCCTTTCTCTACGACGCTCTATTCCTCGCGTGTGTCTCTCCGACAATGTTGAATTTAACAATTAGTTTTAAAATGACCCTGATTGCTTGCTATGTGGTTTTATTCTAGTTGTTTGAGTTTTTTAACTTAAAGTGTTGATGTTCTTTATTTTTTCTGTTATTTCTTATTTTGTGGGCTTATGTTACTGAGTTTTGCTTCAGATTTCTCTAATACGTTTTATGCATCTCTTCTCACTTCCCCTACATTTTTTTTTTACAATTTTTTAAGCTATTATCATGCTTACTGCGCATGTGTTGAATACTTGATTTGAATTAAGATAATTAGACAATATCTATATCATATTCTAACCTACCCATTTAAATAAACTATTTCTGTTTTTTTTTTTTTTAAATTTATGTGTTGGGAAGAATTGTTCTTCTTTTAATAAAGCCATCGGCCACTATTTGCGGCACCTAACCCTCGCACTCTTTTTCCTTTTTTTATTTTACTTTTATTTTATTTTTGATTAATTTTATATTTAATAGAATTCTTTTTTTGCCTTGATTTAATATTATCCATAACTCAAATTATTTGCAGACCTAACAACTTTAGTTATCATTTTTGTTCAATTTTGAGATTTGAGTTTTGTATTTGTATTAGCATTCATTTAAATTTATGGTTGTAGGATTAACTAAATGATTCTTGTCAAGCTTATTATCAAGAAGCTTGTAAACTTTAAAAAGAAAGGATAATTGCATACAAATCATTCGAAATATTTATATTTACTGAATAATCACCTGGAATTTTTTTTTGAACTACCGAAAATAATGTGCATGCAAGGGTTTCAAAGCGCTTGATGTTCGGAGCCGCTTGACGAGGATTGAGAATTGTATCTTAATTCTGAATCTAAATTGATATTAGCATTAGAATTGGGCATATTTGTGCGGAGCTCGGCCACTTTTTTCTTGTTTTTCTGAGATAATGGCACACCGCCTCTTTTATTTATTCATGTGATTCTTTTTATTTGCCATTCTCGCTTGAGAATTTAATAAAAATGAAAAAAAAAAAAGGTTTGGATTTTATAATGAATTTTGATATTTGAATGAGATTTTGAAAAATGGAAGAAAGAAGGTGATCGATTGTAATATATTCTTCATATATATATATATATTTCGATATATATATATATATGCATAAGTTGCCAAAATTTCGTGGAGCGGTGGTTTGAAGATAAATAAAAAAGGATTGTTGGTCTCTCACCCGTGCGCTCATTCTTATTTCCACAAAATATTATAATAATAATAATCAGTGAGAGAAGAAGGGTGTGTTTTGGAACTTGATGTTTGTTTCTGAACAAAATAGGAAACATCATCTTATAATCTCATTCAACGAGGGGAAAACAAAATTTTAATATCTCAAGTGGCCAAAGACTTGTCAAATTTTAAAATGCAATTCCAATGGTGTCACTTTCATAATTTATAAGGGGCATTTATGCAATTGATATCCACCACTACACACAAAATATAGGAGAATTATGAAAATCATGACAAGAGAAAGTAGGCTCATTGAATAAAAAATCTCTATACTCAATATTTTTTCTTAAATGACTTTACACTTTGTTGAACGCTTTTTGAGCCAGCCCATGAGAAAGCATCTATGGAAGCTAATAGTAGATATAAATAGTCTTCACAAGAAAAATCTCATGAGGGTAAGTTATAGGCATGATTTTAACTCATAACCCTAGATGACACACTAATGAGAGAATTTTAATATGAAGCCAATAGCAAAAAATATTATTATTAAAAAGATGGAAAATAATTGATCCATAATATCTTCACTCGCTAAAAGAATATCAAAATGCATAAATCTCATAAATTATAAATTTTATAAATAATCTCGAAAGGTTGAAAGGAGTTGCTTTAAAAAAAACTAAAATACTAAAAGCCTTTCGAGATATAAGTTCCTTGATTTTTTTTTCTTCAAAGCTAAAAGTCCCATTAGATAAATGTTTCTTAAAAAAGGAATTGTAAATACTTGTTTATGTTATATGAGGTGCATTCTCTGCCTCCATCTGTTATTAAGTATTTTATGTTTGCATTAAAATGGTTTTAATCATTTTGTGAAACGATATAAATAAAGTAATAGTTTCAGACTTATGTTGTGATGGAAGATACCAACAAAAACAATAATATGCATTAATAAATATCACATAATATTTGGAACCTCCCAGGGAGGCTTGAGCGAATGGTCCCCATAAGTATAAACAATTCATTTTAAAAACATTATAATGTTAGTATTGCGAACAAAAGGCGATTAGTGATTTTTTAAGCAGTAAGTTCAAATGTGAGAAAAGGGAGATATGTGAAGGTGAGAATGTGAGTGAGTTATTCTTGCAATTGCTTTCTTGTGAGGATGACCCAGTCTAAGATGCTAGAGTTTTGATCCTTCGGTGTTGTCAAGTGTTATAATTGAGTACAACCCTTGATCAACAATTCCAAAAAGAAGAATCTTCTTGGTTGTTAAATCCTGAATATAAATAAAATTTGTTAGCGCAAAAAATATTATGACAATTGTTGTCTTATGTGAGTCTGTCAACTGAAACTAAATAATGTGATTTTGGTGATGGACAAAATAAGGGTGATAGAATAAGCTTGCTGGTGAGCGTTGGGAGAAGATCAGTACTTGTATGGGTAATGGTTGTGTTTTGGTGGTTGCCTACGACAACCTGATCTGATTTTGTATATGTCGTAGATTGCTGTTGATTCTCAAGATGAGGTGTTATATGAGTCGTGGCTCCCGTGTCCAAGATCCAGTCTTGGTTGCTTGTTTGAACTTGGTTGTTTAAAGCGGTAGTTCGGAAGGGAGTGATGGGTTTGTAATCGAGATTTGCCCTGTGCTAGCAGGTCTGTGTCGAGTGACCCTTTTTATTACATATCTGGAAAATTATACTTTGTCTTGATTTTGTCACATTGCTTGTGTTCATTGGCTTGTTGTTGGTGTATGACTTGCTATGTGAAGAGTTATTGGGATGATTTTTTGCGGTTTGAAAACCTCCTTTACCTTTATAAGCAATCAAGGTTGACTATTGAGTGGTTTTGTTGATATCGTGTGCTTGATTGCACTCCTCGCTAAGCAGTAAGGAATAAAATCCTCTAGATTTAGAGGATGAGTTTTTGTTCAAGGATGTGGTTTCAGGTAAACAATATGGTTTAGGAGAAGTATGTTTCTTTGAGGATTTTCTTAATCAGATCACCGAAAACCCTAATGGGGGTTTGCTTCAAAGGGATTCTCGTAAGAACGGTAAACCTGCACTTCTTTTTTCTGAAGAAGACACATGCATCCTGACTAAGCCTTTCAGATTTACTTTAATTGGTAAATTTTCTTTTGCTCATCCTAAAATAGAGATTATT